CAGGAAGAATCTTTGCAATGTAAGGAGGTGTGTACCATTATTCAACCCTTTTCTGCTGCTTCCCATAGTACCACTGTTTCAGAAAGCTGAAGAGACTTTAAAGAACAGCCTGAATAGGAAAACTGAAATCTAATGCATATGCACTTGAAAGACAAAAGACGAGGATGCAGCATGTTTCCATGGCTTCAGAGGACAGAAAAAAACACATGCAGGACAGACCACCACAGTGTCACCACGTACAGAGGAGTCTGCCTGCCCAGAATGGGAGCCTACGAAGAGCATCACCCTCAACCACCATCTAGGCATCCCAGAGGCTGGCTGCGCAGCTTCCAGTTCCTGTTCCCCAGAGAGGATGGGGCAGGGTCAGCCCAGCAAGCAACTTACACTCCTAAAGAGGAGCCCCAAACAAGGTTCTTTCAATAGGGCAGGGTACAGGAATCCCCAATGCTCCTCTAGCCCTAAAAGTCAGTGTCCTAAAAACACCCACTTCAGCCCCCATTGCTAAGGGCACAAACTCAAAAAGTCTTGCTAAAGCAAAATATCTTTTTGAATCTCATAGTAAACACTCTGGAGAGAACAGACAAAAAACAGCCTTCTTTCTGATTCCCTTTTGAACTAGGTACATTATTTCTGGGTTGTACATTACAACAAATGTCTCATTGATTTCTCAGTCACAAAGAAATCATTCTTTTCATGTCTTGTGACAGATGTTTCTTCGGATGAACAGCATTGACTTCAAACAGGAATTTTTACCTCACAGAATAACTTTTCCAAAACTGATTTTAAAGTATCTATTAGCAAACCAAAAGCAGGCACATTATATTTCTGAAGCAAAGTGTGAGCAGGAAGTCTCTGTTTCAAACTGAAAAATGTCTTAGTCATTTGGCATTTTTTGTCCTGTACAGAACTGATCACAGTGCAACATAACAGGTGCCTAATTAAGGAGCAGTTGCTTGTCTTTTTTTTTCATCTTTTTCATCTCATTATCAGCCTTGAAAGAGTAAGCTCCAGACACATCTATGTTTCATTTCAATCACCTCTCCTTCATTAACAGAGACCAGCTTAGGGCACTTACAACATTCTCAAACAACATTCTCACACTCAAGGATTTGCTCATTTGGTAACTCTTGAAAAAAATATTGAAGAAAATGGGGGGAAAAAAATACAGAAGTATATAAATAATCTTTTCTACTTTGAAAGTAGAGATGGAATAAAGGAAAACAGGGAAAATAAATTTGTGATTTACAGAGGTATGAAAAGGGAAATATTTGATGCACCATTTTGTTCTTTGGTTTAGAAATAGACAATGGCAGAAAGACGGTCTTGATCTTTTCCTCTTAATCCTTCACCATACAAACCTATTGTTGTACTTAAGCTCACTACATATGTGGAATAAACCTCCCACATGAGCTACTTAGTTAAGCATTTTGGCAGGGGGAAATGTGATTACAACTTTAACAGGGTACTTGATTTTGCCTGGAGAATTTGTAGGGCTGTTCTCTCAAGAGACTGCAGCAAAAGGTATAGAAAAGAGCAGCTAATACATCTTACAATGAACACGGCATGAACAGCTTTGCACAGCAGTTACCTCACAGGCTTCTTCAGTTCAACCAGAGCACAGCTGAGCAGAAGTTTCTAAAGAAGATTGTTATATTAGCTGCTTTTGGCCCATCAGGAAATATTTTAAGATGTCTCATAGAACAGATGAAAAATACACTCACTAATTGACTGTTAGATCATCATTGAGCTTGTAAACATCTGTCTCATTAGAAATTTAATGGAGAACGCCCAGCTTTATGATTTAAGACTGAGGTAAAAAATGAGAATATGAGAGACCAAAGCTTCATGTGCATGAGGTTATCCAGCGTGGATTGCTCATATTCATTACAGATATATCAGATGACATGCTTGCTTCAGTTTCTCAGATAATACAATATAATACGCAATGGGATTGATCTTCACAACTGGAATTTTGTATTCTGAACTCTGCTCTGCTAATATGTGCTGCTCTGCATGCATACTGGTAACCACTACATTTTCCTATCTGTGCATACAAAGCTGCAAAATAAGGATGCTACCAAACAGAACAACAGCATAATAGAAAAGTAAGAACCAAAAATACTCCCACTCAAGAAATCTGAAATGGCACCACAGCTCCTCTAAGAACTTTTCTAGTGGGAGGAATAAAAAGAAAAGCAAAAACAAGTAATCATCTCAAGCATATAAGCATTTTTTAAATTAATTCTAGTTTGTAAAAATTCCACTGGATAGGAAAGAGTTTAAGAGACTACATTAGTCACAGAAAACAAAGATATGTTTTATTCCATGACTGAGCCTTTAGAAGCAAAGAGCAGCATGTACCTCCTTCTGTTTTGCTCTATCGAATTAAAAGCTCTCATGGCTTCTAGTGTATAACACAGCCCCATGCTTGTTTTTTTATACACACAAGTATGGCACTCCTGTTCACATGCGGATTTTGCCATGGAATACTTGCAGCCACACATCACAATAACAGGGCCTGTTATTGTGCATGTACGTATGGCATATAACATGCACATATGTCTGACTGCTTATATGCAAATGCATGCATGGCATGCAAATACCAGCAGACTTGGAGTTCCATCAACACAGGCTGCGTTATCCCCCAGCCAACCCAAGCCAAGCAGCTATTTCAGTCACTGCAGGAGCATGGGTTACACACGCATACAAAAACAAACACATGGGGTGACATCCTCTCCACATGAAAAGAAGAGTCTGTCATCTCCGTGGGCGTCAATTTAGCATAATCCCCACAGAAAGATACTGCTTGCTTTAAAATACACAGATGTCTTATTTAAGAAGGGCTCATTCATTTCAGGCCCAGAATACATAAACAAGCCTTTGGTAACACAGCAAAAAAAAGGTACTTTTTGCTGATGTGTTGTGGTTTAGGATTTCTGAGGAGGTAAAGTATGGAGCTCAGTTGTTGTTTTCGTTTTCTGAGGGGGTTTTATTATTATTAAGTTTTAATTCAGTTTGGCTCGATCTTTATTTTGTAGGTATGTAAATATAGGCAACCCAGTGCCAATAGCTAAAGAAACAATTCTGGTCAAAATGAAACACAGAGCTCTAGGCTATAAACCTAAGACAAAAATCAAAGGATTTAAATGAAATTTGCCATGGCAACTCATTACATTCAAAGCTATCCATGATATTTTATTAAACATCAGTTAACTGCATCGTTAAACCAGATAAATGCTAGCTCAGGAAATGAAATGGTCATTGCCTAAACCTTTAACATGCTAGAGACACACTAATGCTGAATCAGCTCAGAGGAGTAGCCTCAGCTCATCCACAGGCTTATCTTTGAGAGTAGTCCTTATTGATGTCTCTATAAGTCATCTCCTTTCTAGATGAAACTCTAAGATGAGTCTCTAAAACGAGGGTGACTGAACAGAGTAGCATTTCCAAGTAGGTGCATCATCTTGAAGACATAAGAGCACATAATTGTTTGACATGCCATGTCTCAGCTATTTGACCCATAGGTTTGATTTTAAGTTCTTTTTATATGTACTGAACATAAAGCCAAATACTAAATAGAAAAATTGCTCTTCAGGGTAAGAATCAAAGTCTCAGTCCGCACATTATGTTTCACAATGTCCACGTGTCTCAGTGGGAGACCTAAGAGTCATAAAGCATGTACGTGAGATGACATCCCTCCTCTCATTTCAGAAATAATCCTTATTGCTGCCAGTTGGCTTCAGTTTAAGGTGCTTTTCTGGAGTGACGGAGTTAATTAGTGCTCAAGATGTTTCATCCAAAAGTACACTACTTCATAGTTTCCCCTGAATTTTATCTGTTATTCACTCAAGTCAGTTTAATTCAACTAGTGTTCTCCCTGATCACTGAAATAATTTACACTACTACATGGATTAATCACTACTTGCAAATCATTAGAAAATTTAGGAAATTAGCTATATAGCATAGCTTCCATCACAAGATATGAATTCATCACCATTCTTGTACAAATTTTACTATAATATTATTGGGGTTTGTTGGGGGCGGGGGTTGACACCCAAAGCATATCATTTCTCACACCATGGCTGTTCAAACCTTTTGTGGAGATGTTTTACCAAGAGTAAAATTTTGAAGTATCAACTAACTTTCCTTTATCTGTTATTGTATTATGACCCAATCTAAGCTTACTAACAGATGGCAAAAAGCTGTGCCAGTTATGTTTGAGTGCATCATTGTACTTTTAATCTTTTATTTCACTTTCACTTTTTTTTTTAAAGCAAGAAGAATGAGTGCAGATGTTGTTGCTCTGTAACTACCCAAATCTCCTCCTTTTAAACTTATGAACAATAAAGAACCAACACAAAAAATAAATTAAAGCAATAAGAATTTTTAAGTAATGAGATCTTTAGATACCCAACTACTGCCTTAAGCATATGGTGTTAAGAAAATGCTCTATTTCTGTGTATGTGTAAATAAGTAGGTTTTAGATGAAGGCATAGTAAAGCTTGTTCAAAAATAAGTAGCCTCATTCCAGGCATTTTGAGGACTAACATAACATATGCTGATCTGCACTACAAACAGCCCCGCTGTTTATCTCACTGTTTAGACATAAATACAATGTGCAGCAATTCAAAACACATTTTCTCAGTCCACCAAATCAAGTTCTCATTTCCCACAGGCTTAAAAGTGGCTGAAAGAATAGGGAAACTTAAGTGGCTGCAAAAATACATCTAATGTAGCCATTTTTCCCCTCAATCTCTCTTGCTTTAAGAAGCTACAAGGAACATGGCTTATTTTATCACATATCCCAGGCCACAGACGCATTTTCCTACTGCTAGAAACTCTGCAGACAGTGATGGGGGTATTATCTGCTTCTCAGGGAATTCAAGACTGCTACAGAAAATATTCTTACAAATGTTATCACAAATAGTATACTAAAATCAAAATATTCTCTCAGAAATGCGAAGGAAAAAAAAAAGATTCAAGAATTCTAGAATCCTTACCAGCTGAGAGAGGAGGACCAAATCACAAGATGCCTGTAAAAGAAACACAGATGTTTTGATCTCCCAAATTTAAAGGGTTGGTTTTCCCAAAAGTACTTACTGGGAGCAATGCAAGAACCATTGCATGTCGTTAATACGTAGATTAGGCAACATTCCTCATTACCCAAGTAAAATCAAAAGTCATCTTTTAAATAAAAGGAGAAAACTTATTTTGTATGGGTCCTTGGTATTAATCTACATTTTGCTGTGAACCACACGTGCTATATCTCTCCAGGGCAATAGCAATGCTCTCAGTTTCTACTGCAAAGCTTACCTCCTGGTTGGTCATACCATGCTCTCCTCGGACCACCTGAGATGAGGCACTCACATGTCCCTCTCTGCAGGTTTTTTTTTTTCCTGCATCTCTCTAGCTTAAATCACTCAACACATGACCCAGCATAGCACATAACTCCATACTGTCCAGCCAGCAAGAGGTAGAGTTGTCCCAGGTGTGATAACATCTCACCTAATTCACTACAATGGTCTGGGGCATGGCATGGTCTGAAGAGAAGACCTGACCCCCTTCTTCCTTTATCTGGAAGTATGTATAGCACTGGCATTTTCAGAAACCCTCCCAGTTCACCCAACGCAGAGTTACTGGCAAGCAATCTCAGCAGTGTTATGCACAGATCAGCAGCCAGTTCTAGAAAAATAAAAGCAAGGAACACATCCCCACCCTGGGGTGAAAAATTCCTTCCTCAAATCTGAGATGGTTCTGACCTAACGCGTAGTTCAACACAACATGAGATCTCAGCATCATACAAGATGATTTTAAAAATCTTATGTTCTAGTGAGAACAATACAAAAAAAGTGATACAAAGGGTACCTCAGGGGACAGGGGTGAAAAATGGAGCAAGGAAAACTTGTGAGCCTGGTGATTTCTCAAAGGGCAGTAGTATAGCACTCACATCAGTCTATGAGTTTCTCACAAAGGATACCTCCTCTGTTCAACAAGTACCTCCATTACTCAAAGTCACAGCCCCAGTAGGATCATCACAACAGCAAGATGACACCACAAGCAGCAGCAGAGTAGGAAAGGACACTCACCCTATCCTGGGCTCACATGGGAAACTCTGGTGGAGTGCACTTCTGGTGGACTATATCCTTCCCTTCTGGTAGCCAGCTCTTAAATGGGGGTAGGAGAGGTGGAGCTGGGCTCCACTCCTTCCTGCAGCACAGGTGAATTGCCTTCACCTGTGCTCCTGTGGCTGACTCATTGCTCGCCTCAGGTGATCAATCAGAGGTTCAGGCCGTGGTTCAGCAGCCCCGTACATTCTATGTGACACAACCTCTGGTACTAGATTGATAGACCCTGAATAACCCAGTTCTCATCTACCCAGTCATCCACCAAGCCAACTTTTCAGCTGTGTCAGAGTGGACTTGTAATGTTTCAACCACACCAGGGAGGAGTTAATCTAGAAGGATAAAAGGGAAGACCGCTATCCCACCAACAAGTAGAGGCTCTGTGGTTCCTTCACAGAGATGAAGCTTCTATGAGAGTTACTGACAGGAGAGAACTGGTACCAATGGGAGTACCTGGCAATCCTGGCAGAAGAGCTCTGGCAGTACAACTTCGTTGGCAGATGTTTCACATGTCCTCCAAGCACTCAATCATAGAATTATATCATAGAATCATAGAATGGCTTGGGTTGGAAGGGACAGGATCAAAGATCATCAAGTTCCAACCCCCCTGCTGCAGGCAGGGCTGCCAACATCCACATTTAATACTAGACCAGGCTGTCCAGGACCCCATCCAGCCTGGCCTTGAACACCTCCAGGAGAGGGGCATCCAAAGCCTCTCTGGGGGGCCTGTTCCAGAACCTTACTTCTCTCATAATAAATAACTTAAGAAGCAGATGGAATGCCTAAGAACAATTTACTTCAGTAACTCTTGTAATGCCAAAATTCAAGTTACACATTCGCACTAGAAGCATGCAAAATAAAAATGGCACCATTGGCATCAATGAGATAACAAAAAACACAACTACATCTTCGTGCCCAAGTATACAGTATGGAACTCACACTTAACTGGAAATGTTGAAACAGGTATTTTGGCGAATCAAAATGAATTTCAATTTAAAGACATCAATATTGCCTGAGAAATAATGACACCGAAGCTTTGCCAGATCTAGTCCATGTGAATGTTCCATCTCCAGACATATCAATGCTATTTCTTTTTTCTCTTCAGGAAAGAAAAAAAAAAAAGTTATGAAAACAGGCTGTGTCCGATATCCACAAGCTCTTTGATCCGAACTGTGAAAATAAATTATTTTCTGGATTAGATTATACCTTTGGGAGTTCTAGTAGTATTGTCTGTAAATTTCCTTTAGCTGTGCATAACAGATGGTCAGCATGTTAGTTTTATTTACAGACCATCAGCATTCACAGAAAAGCAGAGGTGGAAGGGGAACAGCCTGTTTGTTTCAACATGAAGGACCTCTCTTGGAAGAGATTACTGATAGGTTTAGGGGGACTTGAGGGAGACTTTTTGCTTAAATTGTTTTGCGTTATCAGTTTGGACTTAAACGTCCATCCCACAGCTCTATTGTTCTCCCCTAGAAAATCTTCATCAAGGTTTAATCATTAATCAAAAAGGAAATAAAACTAAAACCACCTTAAACTATAGTGAATTATGTCTTGGCAACTCTATCCTTTTGACCCTGTTATCATTTTGATGAATCCACCCCATTGTGTTGTGCTGTATGGTACAGTGCTGGTTTGCATGAGCTGTAACACAGGCTTCCAAGTAAGTAGTATACTGACTGATTAGCTTGTAAATGCCTATGTTAACAAAACCTCCAAGTGTGTGTAGACAATGTCATGGATTGGCTTAAGCCAAACTACTGAATAAAATCAACATCCAGGCAGCAACTCTCATTCATCAGAGAGAAATCTGGAAGTGACTCAAGCCCTCCACATTATAAAGATCAGATTTTCATAAGTTAATGGGGAAGAAAACATTGCATAGAGAGTAGTTTTCCTTAAGAATAAGTGCCTGGGATTTATTAGTAGTAGATCATAGAATCATGGAATGGCCTGGTTGAAAAGGGCCACAGCAATCATCTAGTTGCCAACCACCAGACCAGGCTGCTCAGAGCCACATCCAGTCTGGCCTTGAATGCCTCCAAGGATGGGGCATCCTCAACCTCCTTGGGCAACCTGTTCCAGTGTGTCACCACGCTCTGTGTGAAAAACTTCTTCCTAATATCTAACCTAAATCTCCCTTAGTTTAAAACCATTCCCTCTTGTCCTATCACTATCCACCCCTTGTAAACAGTTGTAACCTCCCCTGTTTGCATGCTCTTTTCAAGTATTGGAAAGCCACAATGAGGTCTCCCTAGAGCCTTCTTTTCTCCAAGCTAAACAAGCCCAGTTCCCTCAACCTTTCTTCACAGGAGAGGTGCTTCAGCCTTCTGATCATCTTAGTAGCCCTCCTCTGGACTCATAAGATCTACTATTAAATGTTCATAATCAATAATTCACTGTTAATATAAATATTTCAACAATCCACTCTTCTCCCTTTTCTTGGGAAGACAAGAAGCAATTCAAATGGTCTTCCTCCAGCCTCCTCTGCTGTGGGTCCTTACCCATACCATGCCAATCCACTGCCATTCTCATCATCTCTGCTGTAGCTTGATGTTTTGCAACACACCCACATAGGGTCACCTAGTCAGGAAGCCTAGTATAATGTCACAATCTAGATCTAGCAATAAGCTATAATTATCATTGGAAAAGATGCTTTTCTACTGATATCATTTCAGTGTCATCAGAGCTGCTGAAACAAATACTTCATTGTTTTACTGCATAAACATCCTTCTAGGTCATGTCTGCCTTGTTGAACTCTTTCTGTGCCATCAGAGGACAGCAGATGTAGCCAAACTACGTCAGCTCTGCAAACCCACTGTTTCCCACTTCAGCAGCTAACCAAATTGTGTCCACACATCATTGCCAGGGAGCCGGCTCCTTCCCAGAAGGGAAATAGAAAATGTACTGTATCATTGTGAGGCAGCTCCAGCATGCTAAATAGAGCCATATACTATCAATGCATGAGCAAAAGCTGCTGCTGAGGGGAAATAAAGGTTATGTTTGGTTTTGAGGTTTTAAAAGCATTTTCTTCTTTTTTTTTTCCCTCTTAAACCAAAGGGATCCAAACCAGAAGTTCCTTCCTGTCTGAAAGAGTTAGGCCTGGGACTTTCATGGCCTGATTCTCCTCTTGGCTGCACTGAGCTCAGTCAAATGTGCATCCAGTGAGTCAACAGAGCCACTTCAGTGTAAAACCAAGGCAAGGGAGGCAAAGATATGCTCTCCATCCAATCTACTCCTTCTTGAGCATGAGCAGTTCAGCCCTACTGACAAACCTAGCTCCCCTGCCCACACTCTGCCTGGATCTTCTGGCTCTATCCTGTGGAATCAGGTAAAGAACAAGGAATGCTTCCTCAGGCTGTCTGTATGACCAAGCTCCTTTCAAATCTGGGTGCTACAACATCTCCTAATATCTTAAACTAGACAGGACCATAAACTGGGGTTTGGACAGCAACAAAGGTTTTGCCCTCTTCCACACCATCAAACTCAGAACCAAATCCAATCCTGACAAACAGAATTAGTGAGAGTGCTGTGTAAAGTCCTGGCTATTCATGATAGGTTTTCCATATAATGGCTACTGATAAGCATTCCTAAATTGATTCTGACTGATATCAGAAACCCAGTAAGATTAAGACAGATACCATGCACAGAATTTTCACCGGATTGTGCAAAGATATACCTTCCCAAAGTCTTAGGCAACTCTGAGTCTTCAGTAGGTTCTTTCTTTAATCATCTCCTAAAACCTGTAAACCAGTGTTATACAAAAAGTTGTTGACCTCTCTAGTAAAGCAAGTAGGGCAGAGCAGATGTTAGGGAATCTAACAGCAGTAAGTTACATGTTCTTCCTCTTTACCCAGAAAAGATATTCAAAGACTTTCTTTTTTACTTTTTTTTTTTTTTTAATTTCTTGGGAAATTATCCGATCTGTATGCACTGAAACAATGATGATTCTTTGACGTTTTCCTTCGCTTCTCTTCTGTCAGACTGCCCAAAAAATTAAACAGGTGGAATTTTAGTATTTTATTACTTCTGTGGCCTTATTCTATGATTTTCTAAAATGTTTATAAAGAAGGAAATCGACCTCTTCCTGGATACCAATGAACTATCAACTTCCTCTAGCCAGCATTTTCGTACCACATGAAAAGCTGTTTTGAGAGGCGGAGTTAATAACTTTGCTCCAGCTATAAATGGGGAGTGAAAAAGAAAGAAAAGAGTGTATGAGGAGTGTGCCTTAAAATGCTTCCCTTGAAC